AATATGTTAAAACTTATTTGGCTGATAACCGATACCAATACCAATTTATTTATTTCCCCCCTAGACCTACTTACAGAGACTACATAGCTTTCTCTGCTGTGGAATTAAAATACTACATTATTCTGCATGGTCTATGTCAATTTGGCCTGTTACCAAATGCAGATGCCAAAAAGGGAACTGAAAATGATGCTTGGATTATGTTTAATGTCAAATTTTGTCAAACAAACAGCGCCTATGTATGTGTGTGTATGTGTGTGTATGTATAAAAGCTGCACCTTCTATATTGTTGAGTTATTTTGATGGAATGACCGATATCCGATATTTAACTTTTAACGCACATATCGGCCGATACCAATACCATGCCAATAATATCGTGCGTCCCTATTTTTAATACTAACTAACTAAATTACCACTGGCTTTTGTAAACCTAAACACGAGCAGTTTATTGAGGAAAGGGTTTACGTACAGACACAGATACATTTGTTGGTACATGTCCACAATAATAAAAGCAACAACTAATGGACCTGGCCAAAAAGCTTTAGTTTTATTTCATCTGATTTGAAACTTTGAGGTTATTAACATGCATTTTGATAATTTTCTGTCTGGCATTTTTTGTTTTTCTGCCAATAATGGAGCCCTCCTGGGTCTTCTTCCATGGAAGTCATTATGATTCAAAATGTGAGAGATGGTGCAATCAGAAAATGACATGCTTTAACCTTGGAGTTCTGCTTGAATGATTGATGGTTTCCTTGGCTTTGTCTATCATCTGCATTATCCATTTGATCAACCTGGGGATGCATTTCCTCTTGCATCCACATCCTGGACAGTTAGCTACAGTCCCATGAACCTTATACTTCTAAATAATATTATCAACTGTGGTCAGTGCATCATGAAGCTGCTTCGAGAAGGTCTTGGATCCTTTACCTTTAACGTGGACATCTATAATCCTCTTTCTGAGCTCCTCAGCTCTTTCTGAGCTCCCTACTTAGGCTGCTACCCCCGCGACCCAACCCCGGATAAGCGGAAGAAAATGGATGGATGGATGGAGGAGCTCCTCAGACAGCTCTCGTCTTTGTTTCATCTGCTTCATGTTCATTTGGGTGTACACGACAATACCAAACTATCCAGTGGCTTGTTTGTTTCCTTTTAATACGGTGAATGTTTAGTAAAGATTTGAAGGCACCTGTAATACTAATTAAAGTCAAACTCTTATTTTGAAACATGATATGACACAAGGATTAGTAGTCTTTTTAAGGTTACCGACAAGCTTTCCACACTATTTCAACATGTTTTTTGTTTTTTTTACAAATCTTTGCTTTTAACATTTTTTTGTTTATTCAATCACATACTATTGGTATGCAGATAGCCCTTAGATAATTGTTTGTAACATAATTACTTTTTACAAAATATTGTTCATTTTTACAACGAGCTTTCAGGGTGCCAACAAATGCATCTGCAGAGGTCCAAATAAAGTGTGAGAACACTCTTATCTGTTTTGTTCTAATAAAGAAAAGTAAAAAACACAACAAATAACTCATTTTTAGGGATGCATATGGGAAATCACAGCCACTTTACTCTCATTCATACTGTAGTTTTATCCGTGCACATATGGAGCCAGGTGGTCCAACCTGCTGTCCCGTCACAGAGGCCAGTTCAGGCATTTAGGCACATCTTCCTCCACAAAGCCGTGGCCGGTCATCACAGACGCACTAAGAGCATACATGACAGAGAGATGTAAACCACTGGACAATTATCTAGATAAAAATGATCACATGCTGGTGAAAGACAAAGTGGGCTTTTTAACGCTCGTTTGAAGCCTGCTTCATTTAAAGGCTGCTTCATTTGAAATCTGCTTCAAATGAAGATGTGCATGGCTGCACATGCAAAAGCCTAATTCACTCAACGGTGTGCATTTTTTTCTGTGATACGGGAGCTGACTCGCAGTCTTCAGTTTTTAATTAGACAGCAGAGAAGGCCTTTGATGTGACCTCTTTAATGTTCCCTCCTTGTTAATCAGTGTGATCCTACAAGCCTCTTGCTAGTCTTGTATCGGATGTTAGCAGCAGCTCGACCCTGACTGTGCGCCCTCTCTCCTGCTCTGCCAGGTGAAGTGTGACCAGTACTGGCCATCACGTGGGACGGAGACCTACGGGATGATCCAGGTCACTATGTTGGACACTGTGGAGTTGGCCACGTACAGCGTCCGCACATTCGCTCTCTATAAGGTAAAGTATTGTCTTTTCTTATTTACAAGATAAAGCGGCGCACTCATGAATGACATATTCTTATCATCAGCAATGAATCACGTTTTAAAATGACAAATGAAAGCTGCCGTAATTTCTTTTTTCCTGCTTATTGTTTTTTACCTACTTTTTATGAGGCTTAAAAATATGTAATTTTGTCATCATCTCACATACTTAACTGCAGTAATGGTATTTTCCTTTGTTTTGTTTCCTCCCTTTTTTATAATTACTCCCTTTTTATTTCTGACAATATTCTCATTCCTAATTAGGTGCAAGTAAGTCTTTAGCTGGAGATATTTTTTGATTTCAATCAGGAATGATGGCAAGAATTGTTCTATAAAAACTTCTTAGAAAACACTGCCAGAGCTGAATGTGATATGCACAAGGATCTGCCAGATAAACACAGCCCTAAAAGTAGAGTTTAGTATGTTTTATCAATATAGTTATGACTTTTCTGTGAGTTAAATCAATTTGGTATTATTTAAATGGAGAAATTTAAAAGCTAAAGTCACTCCAAATCACTTTATGTGTAAAAAATAAAACGGCACTTTCAAGTTTGGTGGGTCAGTAATTGCACATCACAATGAAATAAGAGATTGTTTCAGGAAGCTTCAGAAAGAAAAGAAAAGCTCAAACTACATGAGAGAAATGCAAAGTTAATAATGTGTAATAATGCCATTGTTTTTGTGGAGCGTGACAGAAAAAGGAGAAGTTGGGCACTGCTTGTGCTTTTCACAATTTAACTGTACAATCTCCTTTTCATCAAAACAGTTTGACCCCTTTCCTGGTACAGGAAGTGTTGCGTAGCATGACAAGTAATCTGTTTCAAAAGCAACAAGCTACAGTTCACTTTCTACTAAGCCTGATCAGACGCCTTTATGCTGACTCACCTGATTTTCCTGCAGAATGGCTCCAGCGAGAAGCGGGAGGTGAGACAGTTCCAGTTCATGGCCTGGCCGGACCATGGAGTTCCTGAGTATCCCACCCCCATCCTGGCCTTTCTGAGGAGGGTAAAGGCCTGCAATCCTCCAGACGCAGGGCCCATGGTGGTCCACTGCAGGTGGGTGCATGAGGGGAGAAGATTTGGATGCTCAGAGTGAAATGTGGTAAAGAAACATAACGTCCAGCTATACTGTTGTCCACAGAGGTGATTCACATTGAAAACCTTTACGTCATGCAGACCCTACTAGACTCAAGTAGAACTGGAAGTGGCAGAAATGAAGATGTTGAGGTTCTCCTTACAAGTGACAAGGATGGATAAGATTAGGAATGAGATCATCAGAGGTACAGCACAGGTTGAACAACTGGGAGATAAAGTTAGAGAGACCAGACTGAGATGGTTTGGACATGTCCAGAGGAGGGACAGTGGGTACTGGGTATATTGGTAGAAGGATGTTAGAAATGCAGCTGCCAGGAAAAAGACGAAAGCCAAAGAGAAGATATTTGGATGCAGTTAGAGAGGACATGGAGGCAGTTGGAGTAAGGACAGAGTGAGATGGAGGAGGATGACTCGCTGTGGCGACCCCTGAAGAGAGAAAAACCAAAGGCCACAGGGCTGTCAGAGTATCCTGTCCCCAGCTTGGAAATATCAAATACACCTCAAGAAGTCAAACTTTTTAGTGGATAACTCCGATAAAGTTTTCCCCAACAAAAGGTTACACAGTAAACACAAAAGTTATTTTGGTTTATCTGCTCTTGTGGTCAATTATGACTTTTTATGAAAGACTGAATGCAAGATTACTCAGCAGAAAATTGAAGCAGAGGCCAAGTTTGAAATGTTAAATTTACAAACATTAACCTTTCAGTACATTTTAATGTCAGTTGTTGAACATAGAAGCAAAAAAAAAAAAAAAACACATTATTGATGGAGGAATTTATGTTGCAGCAACATTATCAATGTGTGAGGATGCATTTCAGGTATTGATTTCAACAGCTCTTTGACCACAATGTAGTACTGCACACAGTAAAACAGTTATTTACTCTCCTCTGTCTCTGTCTGTCAGTGCGGGTGTGGGCAGGACTGGCTGTTTCATTGTGATTGATGCCATGCTGGAGCGCATGAAGCA